AGTTGTATACAAACCGTTTCTCCCGGGATGACTAGCTGGTAAGACTGGAGCACAACTAAAACAGGTGCGAGTATGTTCCAGTCTTTTTTTTGGACCAATGCTTCAGCAGGGTGAGGAAAGCCAGGCTCAACTGAATGGCGAAGCGGAAGAAGGGGATAAGTCCAAAAACTGTACTTTTCAGGAAATCAAAAAAACTATTTCCACATAACATTCCAGTAATGTTATGATGCAGATAGAATGCACTTCTGTCAAGGATATTACTGACACTTTGCAGTTTTCCACTATCGTGCTCCTTCATGGAGATACCAGACTTAACTCTTTTCACGAATGTGACATACGTAGACTTGTCATCTTAACTCCTTTCACATGTTCAGAATTTAGAGTTAGGTCATTGGAAGAATGGCAAAAGGGATTTAGTCGACTTAATTTTCTATGCATGAGATGCAGAAGGAGGTGTGCCAACTTAACTTCTTATGTCGCAAAGTGCTGAGTGAGATAAGTCCTCTATCAAGAAGAGGACGGTATGTGAAGAGAAATGGCGGATGGATCTCACTTTACTTCCAAGTTGAGAGTTACTATGACATATTGAAGTATATTTATAGTCCGCTGTCATTTGAATATATTTTCTGTATACAAAAGGGGTCAAGTCAACCTAGCACCATGAAAAAATGGCTTCAAAATGGGTTAAGTCAACTTAACTCATTTTGTCTCTATTCAAATTCTAATGAGTTTTGGGGTATGTGCGTGTCGAGTGTCCCCAAAAGAGGACAAGTCGACTTATCTCCCATCCTATAGAAGTTATCCCCAAACCTTATGGTGGGTAGATGTGGATCATGATATACTATAATATGCCATAAAAATCTCAGTTTGGGGTTAAAGTCACTTATCCCCTTCTTCGGCTTCGCCATTCAACTGGGATGCTAAGCCAACACTTCTTTTAGGAAATAAAATACGCAATGAAATTTACCTACACACTCAGACCTGAACTGATTTAGTTCTAAAAAGATACCCACGTTTTAATGCAGCAGGAATTACTGACTAGTTGACTAATTTGTTACTTGTAACTAACTTACTGATTGCAAAAGAAATTGTCAGTAATGTAAAAAGGAATCGATTTGTGCTACTGATAAAAAACTGTCAGTAACAGGATGAGAGTGTATGGATATCTTTACAAAATTTAAACTGCTTCTGGATTGCGAAAGGTCGATCACAATTTTAAAAAATATTTTTGAAGTACAGGTGATATAAATGGTGATCCTAGACAAGTGGCGCCAGTGGCAGCTCCTCCAGAACCTCCAGTACTTTCACTTCATCCTGTTGATAGTAAGAGAAAATACATCAATTAGAAATATTTTGAAATGTTTGCAGATTATCGAAAGTAACTGTGTTCACATCCGATGACTTTTTTTTTTGTTTTCTAATAGAAGTTGCACAAGATGTTTTCATGGCTGACCATTCCTACACCTAAATGTAGGATCAACAAATGAAATGTAAGAATCTCATTAATTTGCATAGCTAAGTTTTCTGGTCTTTGCAATTTCTATACATTTTAATAATTGCATTATACAAATGTTACAGTTGTAGAACCAGTAGTAGAAATAGTAGCAGCTCGTATTTTAATGGGAGCACCAGTATTGGCCAATTTACTTCTGGACCAAAGTAATGCAGTAGCAAGTGGTGAGTATTCTATAGAAGCACATTCTGAAGGTGGGGAAATACCCATTGAACCTTCTAATTTAACCTTTTTTATCATTTTTAATCATATTTTTGACCATAATTAAAAAGAGGGATGAATTATAAGGTTCAATGGGTATTTCCCACCTTAAAATCTTATGATTTTGAGGCAAACTGCAATACAGTTTTTTATATAATATATGTATTTGTTTACTTTTCAGAAATAGAAGTTGGAGTTGGTGCCATGGATTGCGACACTGGTGACAGTGTAGGTGAAAGAGTAGCTGTCACTCAACCACACCATGCAGGTAAGTCAACGGAATAATTATATTTAAATAGTTCTGTTGTTTAAACTAACTTTGAAAACAATTCATATAAATATACTTACCGCTATTGTTTCCTCCAGGTTTGTCGAAAAAGAAAAAGAAGTCTGTTCTGCCACGACTCCTACGCATCCCAGCTGGTCAAAGAACACCCCTGTTATCAGCAGTCGTGGGGGTTGCTCAGATATGCAGAGCTGGGGCAGTACGCCTGCAAACAGAAGCAGTACAGAACAATGAGAACATGAGGCATTTAACGAAAACCATGAAAGAAACGGTCCTGGCAGATTTCAAGACAAAATTAAGCCCTTAATTTTACAAAATGTTGCTTTGCCAGCTTCGCAATGCTAATAGGAATCCTCATGGCTATCGCTTCACATCTGCTGACAAACTTGAATCATTGGGGCTGCATCAGCGAGGCTCAAGAGGCAACTTTTCCCTCCTCATGATTAAGCCATAAAAAAAAACTATTTTACGAGTGACAAGGAAAATTAACTTCAAGATAGGCATTAATCCTGTGGTGTTTACAGCACTTAAGTCAAGAGTGACCAAAATGGAAGAGAACCAAAAACAAGTGATTGTCACATTTGATGAAATGGCTCTGAAGGTGTATTTTTACTATGATGATGCTACTAACGTTGAAGTAATTGGACTGGTTGATTTTGGTGACTTGAAGAAGGGAATTCCAGCAGAAGTTCTAGTTTCAATGGTGCGCGAATTGTATAGCAAGTGGAAACAGCCCGTGGCCTTTTGGTACACACACGCTGGGCTCAGCATCAGAATCATAGTCACTGATGGCATGACCAAGAATTGGACTGCTATGACGCAATTGGGTGCCACTGTTGACACTCCCTGGTTTTACCTGCAGGGGCAAAATATTTTTACAGGTTTTGATGTGTGTCATATCAAATCTCTCCGCAATGCTATGCTATGGTAAAGTATCCCCTCCAGATTGCAAATGATGTGAACAACATCATAAGTATGGATCACTTAAAGAAATTTATTGAAAAGGACAAGCTTATGCAGCCTAGACTTGCTCGAAAAATTACTGATACTCACCTGATCCCAGGTCGTTTCCAGAAGATGAATGTGGGCTTGGCCACACAGCTGTTCAGCAATACTGTTGCAGCTGGTGTCATGACGTACGCTGTGCTGGGCGGACTGGACAGTAAGCTATGGCAACTAGACGCTTTTGTCAGCGTATTAATAACTTGTTTGACTCCATGAACGCGACAGAGTCGTCTTCAGAAGATCCTGAAAATTATAAAGTTGCATTAACAACCACTTTAACAACCACTTCTTCTCACCTGCCCCTTTGGGATGCTATGTACAAAGAAATGGAAACTTGGAATTTCATTTGGTCGCAAAAACTTACTTTTCCTCAACAGTGGAGCATGACCATATTTGCAGAGGCACATCTCTGGAGAGACCTTCAGCTTAAAGGCTACGATCACTTGCTGACTGGCTTTATTAGCTCAGACTGCCTTGAAAATTTTAATGGTTGAACCAGAACGTTTGGTGGCCATCGCAGGAATCCCAGTGCAAAGGAGTATCCTTCTGCATATGCTGCAGCACTTATAGGTGACTTGACAGCTAAAGAGAGGGGAAGAAATTGTAAAGATGACTATACTTAAAAAAATTTTAACCTCCAGGCGCTTCTCTAGTCTGCAGAAGAGATGCAGAATCATTCTGCTGTTGAAGATATAATAATGGTCGACGTATCTGAAGAGCAAGAAGATTCTGACTGTGATGAAATTATTCATGAAGATGATGAGAGAGAGGAGGGAGGGGAACAGCTACAATCACAACTTGTAAGCTTCTTTTT